AGCGTTGATTTCGGTACTCGAACAAGTCTTTTTCCAACCCGAAACCATATCACAGGCAACCCCGTTATCTTTTCTTTTTGGAAAGGAGTGCCATTCGAGCTCTAGCGTATTATTTATCGAATTTTAAGAAATCATATTACTTTCATAACAAAATATCTCAAAATTCATTAAAATGTCTGAAAAAGCATATACTTTTAGAAAGAAAAACGATAAAAAGAAGCGACAAATGCATTAATCAAGGTAGGCCATGCAAGAAGTTGAGAAAATAATTAAAAACAATAATAAAGCAATAAACTTTAGTCTTTGTGGTTCAATATATTCTCTGGTTATGCTTTAATCAACTTTTGCTTTTAGTTTTAAACAAAATGCTTCCTTTTTCTCCACTTGGGACAGCTTGTCTACACCACTTTTTAAGCTTTGAAAAAATTGCATACACGGATTTGTTATGGTCCCTCGCTGTTAGTGACGAAATCTTGTTCGTGTTCGGCTTTGAAATGGCCTACGAATCAAATCAAACACCGTGATTTTATGAGAGAAAAGTTGTTGAGTTTATCACTGTTTATGAGATTGAATTGTTTCGAGTTATGTTACAAATGTTCGTGGAGTTTTGTATATCTATTTGTAAGATCCCACGTTAGTTGGAGAGAATAAAACACCAGTTATAAGGGTGTGGAAATCTCTTCCTAACAAACGCGTTTTAAAAATCTTGAGGGGAAGCTCGAAAGGGAAAGTCGAAAGAGGATAATATTTGTTAGCGGTGAGCTTAAGCCATTACAAATGATATTAGAGTTAGACATTGAGTGATGTGCCAGCGAGGAGGTTGAGCTCCAAAGGGGGTGGACTCGAGGCGGTGTGTCAATAAGAACGCTGGGCCCAAAGGGGTGGATTGCAGGGGTTCAACATCGATTGGAGAATGAAACGAGTGTCAGCGAGGATGTTGGAATCTGAAGGGGGGTGGATTGTAAGATCCCACATTGGTTAGGGGGAGAACGAAACACTCTTGTAAAGGTTGTGGAAACCTCTCCCTATCAAACGTATTTTAAAAACCTAGAGAGAAAGCTCAAAGAGGACAATATCTGCTAGCGATGAGCTTGGGTCGTTACACTATTTAATCAAAGCATGGGTATGCGGATTCTCAATCTCAATTGCAAGATGTTTGTCCACTGAGCGAGGTTGGAGAATTTGCAAGATCAATTTTCCAATGGTTTTTTTTTTCTGTAACGATTCATACCCAGAGTTTCGATCAAGATTCACACCTAATGGCCTAGCATTCTCTTGCATCCCGTGTCATAGTGTGCGACACTCGTTCTAACCCGGTAAACAAGCCAGTCTTATGAAAATTGTGAGTTATAGAGAATTCGAACGTATGATCGAATCTCGGTCATGTTTTAGAAGATGTGAGTAAGGAAATGCGTTAAAAACGACTGGCAAGAAAGCAATGTTATAGGCTAAAAGCAAATAAGTAACAACTACAGTTTTAATATCATATAACCAAATATGAAGAATTGACGACTAATCACATCGCCTGTCATATATTTTGGGGCATCTTAGCCCTGATGGAACATTTTAGAGCACCTCAGCCCTTATGGGACATTTTAGGACATCTTATCCCTAATAGAGATAAACATGATTTTGGTAAACAAGCATACACCGAGTGTGAACACAACTGAAATAATAAAGACCTAAGTATATATGAAAGCAAGTAAGAGAGGGTTTGGAACATGCATGTGGCTATGGACAAGCATGACTATGACATCTAACACACGGCTACAGGTAACACGCTTTGGACAAACATGACCATGACACCACGTGGTCACGTTACTTACTCCTCTATCCTCACATACCAACATAAGTTTTTTCAGTATGTTTTGTCCTCACTCACGTGCTTTACAAGAAAAAACCCAACAGATCACTCAAGATATAATTAATCAAAGCATAACACGCTTAAGTTCGAAGTTCATATGACTAATCCACCAAAAAGAAAAATGTACCTTGTTACGCTTACATCAGCGGTCGAATCTGAATCTTATAAGGGTGATTACATTTTTCCTATATATATTCTTTCGAATAATTTTTTATTTCTCAATATAATTTATATTTAAAAAAATGTTTAAAAAAAAAACATCCACATAAATCTAATATAAACAATGTTAATTTTTTTTACGTCATTTTTTAAATATTTTTTATACTTATAAAATCGGGACTAGAATAAAGAATATAATCCTTTCTAGGCCCCAATTAAAATAAATAAATAAATTATATATAAACCCTTACCTTTATTTTAAAAAATAATGGAATAATTATAAATAAATTATATATTCTCTTTCATTGTTTGTAATATTTATATAAATCCAATGGAATGAATCTTAATTTAAAGTAAATTGGGGGGCCTCTAAATAAAATGGGCTCGGGCTGACGAAGTGACCCGGCCCAATTCCGACAAAGTGACCCGGCCCAATTCCTTCTTTTTTTTTTTATTCCCACGCCAACTTACTATACAAAAATGACATTTTAATTACCAAAGATATTGTTATGTTATTTATTAGAAATAATTTTATTGATCATACATATTTCGTCCCGTTAAAGTCCAAAGGTCGATAAACGAATCTAAAGAAGATCGATCGACTACAAGGAGTGTCTACTAAGGTCGAGGCCCTTGAAGCTGACCCTATGAGAGTTAACCGAGGGCTGTATTGAAGGGAATGAATGATTAACTCTCGAACGAAAGTCAGTAAGAACCGATTTGATTTTATTACGTGTCAAATTAAAAAAGTAAATAATTATTTTTTAAAAAAATACTGTTTCAATCGTGTAGAAATTCATCCACAAAATCTTTTTCATTATGGAGAGTCGGGTATTGAGAATTTGAGCTGGGTTTCATTAATTACGAGGCTTTAAAACATAAATTTCAACCAATTTCAGCTACGCGAAAGCTCGTATGACATATATTATCGAGCATACTAAATACCCAATTTTTTATATTGGAAAAAATTGTAATCTCTAAATTAAAATAAAAAATCAAACAGAGAAATCACGTATGAGAACCTATTTCTCAATCTTGATCTTGCTCGTGCAATTCATATCAAGAAATCGCCTCTAGTAGCCAATATTTATATTTCTCGATCTCGATTTCGGTTTCACTTGAGTATGAGTATTGTTTTAGTTTACGTTTGTCGGAAAAGATCGAGGGAAACAAGAAAAGAGAGAAAAAGAAGCTCTCGTACTAAAAAAATATAAATTTTCATTGATTGATTATGATTATATAAAGACGAAAATAACGACGAATTAAAATTTTCTAAGATTTTTTTTTGAGTAAAATATGATGGTAAGGACTTTGGTTGGATTGTGAGACAAGAATCGGATAGAAGTTTCAGCTTTTGACTTACTTGAACGAAGGAAACTTCCTAGCTTGCACGTGCACGAAATGCTTGTACGTGCACCGCAAGAAAGATAAGAAGACTTTTGACTTGACGCCCAAGTTACGACCCCATATAGATTTAGTCCATTTAAACCTAAGTTTAAAAAGCTCGAGTAGGTTAAGAATCTATTAACGGTATATTATAGTTTGAGTTGGAGAATTTTTTTGGACCAACCCGAAATTTCAGGATGGTTGGGTTGGTGACCCGAGTAACCTGAATAGAATAGAGTTGACAACTCAACCCAATCTAATCCTCTATTTTTTTTATTGGATCAGGCTATCAATTTTTTTTATAGTTATTTTTAAATAAAAATTATACTTATTCACAGTACATATTACACTAATAACTAAAATCTTACCAAATTCAAATATCAAACATTCACAAGTCACAAGTAACAAACGGCAAATATTCTTAATTTTTGTAATAATTTTAAATATAGGGTTAGGGTTGGGTTGTAACCATGTTTCTGAATTGGTTGGGTCAATGTCAGTCCGTGGGACCGACTCAAATTTTCGATTTTTCAAAAATTCAACTCAACCTAAATCGAAAAAAGATTATAACCTAACCCAAATTTTGTGGTTTGAATTGGGTAATCAGAGTGAGTTGGATTATCATGTCGTATGAACACCTTTAATTGAGACACTAAATTGATATAAATTTAAAGATCCCGAGAAAAAACTTTGTAGGTCTAAAAATTAAATTTGTAATTTAATAATAATAATAATAATAATAATAATAATAATAATAATAATAATAATAGAAAATAAAGACTAAATTGTCAAAATAAGGGACCATTTAGTTTATATTAATTGGAAATAATTGAACGCAGCTGTGAAATGCCAATCTTAGCCTCCAAGTTCTGTAAATAATTATTTATAAAATAAAAAACTTTTCTTAACCAACCAAATTGGGTTGATTTTTTCAATTGTTTGGTATTTTACATAACTACCCTTTTCACAAAATGTTTTTTCACGAATGCCTCACCAAAATGGAAGGTTAAAAAAGTCAATAAAAATGATTTTTTTATTTTAAAACTCAAATCAAATTAAATTTTTTTATTAAATTTATTAAAAATAAAATGTGATTAGTAAAATATCCATTTATTTATTTTTATTTATTTAATTAAAATTGAAACCCAATTAAATTATCTTCAAAATAGTTAAAAATTATTTTAAAATTTTTTTAACGGTCGTAAATAATAAAAAAATAATTATGAAATATAGCAAATATGTATAGTTTAGAATTATAAATAAATTTAAATTTATAATAAATATATATCATTTGAATTTAAAAAAACGAGATATATATATATATATATTTATTTATTTATTTATTTAAAAAATAATAATTTATTATTATTATGGGAAGGGGAGAAACAAACGAGGGGTAAGCGCGTGGAATATGGCAGTTGGAATTTGAAACGGATGGTCCACAATTCCTCCAACGCTGAAACCGCCCTCTCCCGCCATATTTGAGGGTCCCCCAACAGAAACCGACACGTGTCCTTCTCACCTTTTTCCCATTATTTTATTTATTTTTAAATAAAATCTTTTTTCTTCTCCTTAATCCCCCCTCTCACTCTCTCTCTCTCCAAGAACTCGAATCTCTGCTTCTTCTCTCTCCCCCTTATAACTCTCTCTCTCTCTCTGGTAGAATTCTCCCATTCCTGAAAGGAGCTTCCGGCAGTCACCGATTTCTTTGCAGTATTCCGATCTACTAAGCTACGTTTTGGGGCATTCCATTCCGCCAGATTTTGCCGTTTTTCCTTCTCTCTCTCTCTCTCATTTAGGGTTTCCTCTTTCCTTCTGGTAATCTCGTTTCGATTTCATTTGTTCTTCGATTTCCGCTGTGTTCTCGTATTTCTTCGTTCTTCGTTCGTTATTCTTTCTGTAATCCTTTATTTTTTGTTTTATTTGATCTGAGAAAACCCAAAAAAGAAGATAAATTATCGTAGTTTGTGATTGTTTTTTCCGGATATATTTGGTGCTGGTGCTTTCTTAGTAATTTCCCCTTTGTTCACTCGCCTGTGCTTCAATCTGGGTTTACGTTCTCATCGAGAAACTCCCTGAAATTTTGGTGTGCTTTGTTTTGTTTGCTATCCGAAATTGGGAGTTTTTTGTTTCTCGCTTATTTTTTTTTATTGCGGGATCTTTTCTACTAATTTTTTTCCCCCCCTCTTAATTTTGTCAATCCTTCTTTCCCTTGGCGCCGAAATCAATAGAAAAATCTTGGGATAGGGTGTACCTGTTAATGGCCTTGAATTTTTCATATCGACCCATCTTTCCCGCACATCTTTCGGAAGAAAATTCGGTTTCTCCGATGAGCATTTCAGGTGTTCCCGAGAGAAATTCTGACGTTTATGGGATGTCCTGGCTGATTAATCGGGAGCTAGAGAATTGCCTTGATTTTTTAGAGGACACCTGTGAAGGGGGTGGGTCGCGAGATTGTGTCCCGGGGGATGTTCTGGATCTCTTGCCTTCAGATCCATTTGGAATGGATATGAGTACCACTTTTACAGCGATCACTGGCTGGCTGGACGATCTGAATGTAGACTATGGTGGTGATGGTGGTGGTTATGGAAGAGATGAGAGAGTTTTAGTTGATGAGAGTAATCAGCTTTTTGCTGGATTGAACTATATTTGGAACAATGCTTTTAGGCTCCAGTCGTTTCCCCATGGAAATGAAGGAATTGTTCATGGTTCTGGTGAGCGGGGGGGATTCAGTGAGTGGTCTGATGGGAGAAAAGTAGGTGGTTTGTCCTGCCATACTGATCCTCAATCATCATATGTTGTGGATACAATTCAGACCCTTGGTATTGAACCTGAAATTTCTGGAGGGGGATTTGTTTCGTGGTCCGATGAAAGAAATGCAGGTGGTTTATCCTGCCATACTGATCTTGAATCACCATATGTTGTGGATACAATTCAAACTCTTGGTATTGAACCTGAAATTTCAGGAGGGGGATTTGGTGCATGGTCCGATGGGAGAATATCTTTCCATACTGATCTTGAGTCACCACGACACGTTGTGGATACGATTCAGACTTTTAGTATCGAGCCTGAAATTTCTGGAGGGGGATTCGGTGCGTGGTCTGATGGGAGAACAGCGGACTGTGTATCTTTCAGTACTGATCTTGAGTCACCACGACACGTCGATACAATTCAGACTTTTAGTATTGAACCTGCAATTTCTGGAGGGGGAGTTGGTGCGTGGTCCGATGGGAGAACCGCAGGCTATGTATCTTTCCATACTGATCTTGAGTCACCACGACACGTTGTGGATACAATTCAGAGTCTTGGTATTGAGGCTGAAATTTCAGGAGGGGGATTCAGTGCGTGGTCTGATGGGATAACAGCGGGCTGTGTATCTTTCTGTACTGATCTTGAGTCACCACGACATGTTGTGGATACGATTCAGACTTATAGTATTGAACCTGAAATTTCTGGAAGGGGATTCGGTGCGTGGTCTGATGGGAGAACAGCAGGCTGTGTATCTTTACGTACCGATCTTGAGTCATCACGACATGCTGTGGATACAATTCAGACTTTTAGTATTGAACCTGAAATTTCTGGAGGGGGATTTGGTGCATGGTCTGATGGGAGAAGAGCAGGTGGTGTATCTTGCCATACCGATCCCGAATCACCACCATATTCTCTGGATATAATTCGTACTTTTAGTATCGAGCCCGAAATTTCTGAGGTGCAACCTGTAGTTCTTCAAGAGGGAAATTGTGTCTCTTCCGATTTAGGCGAACCTCCTCACACAGCTTTAAATTTTGTGCTCGGTTATCTGGGAACGCGGGAACTTCTCGTTATTGAATCGGTTTGCAAGTCCCTGCAGTCAACTGCAGAAGACGACCCTTTCTTTTGGAGAAACATTAACATATGTGGAAAGGTGGATGTGAAAATTACAGACGACATTCTCTTAAAATTGACTAGCAAGGCTCAAGGTGGTCTGGAAAGTCTGAGCCTTGTGAACTGTGTAATGATAAGTGATAATGGTCTCAACGAGGTTCTTCTCAATAATCCCAAGGTCACAAAGGTAGGGAATACAGATTATCTGCAAAGTTACTGTATAAATACTCGTTCGCTTCTAATTTTAAGTCGTTTCTGCAGTTATCTGTTCCGGGATGCACGAGGCTCACCATTGGAGGCATTGTAGATAGTTTGAAGGCCTTCAAGTCGATAGGTAGACCGGGATTGAAACATTTAAGTATAGCAGGAATGTATGGAGTAACAGAAGCTCATTTTAAAGAGTTGGAGAAGCTGTTATTAGGAACTGACAACTTGACTCAGCTAAACACCCACGAGCCTCGATTCTATCGGGGTGGAATTCATTTTCCATTGTGCAACGATGGACGTGCCATCGACATAGAACGATGCCCGAAATGCATGAACATGAGGATTGTTTATGACTGCCCGGTGGTTGGGTGCAAGGGAATAAAAGAAGGCGACACCGACCCGAATGCGAACGCGCAGAGATGCAGGGGATGCACGCTTTGTATAGCTCGGTGCAATTGGTGTGGACGTTGTATCGACGAGACAGTACACGAGGAGACGTTTTCTCTGGATTTGCGTTGCATTGATTGTGGGAAGAAGATATCTGGGTAATGAGTTGCTTATTATTATTTATTATTATTAATTACTGAACAAGATTTTGATTTAATATCCATTTTTGTTGTTCATCTCTATTCAATTTTGGTCCTGTTTCTGGGCATTTTTGCGCGAGTGATTCTGTGAAGGAGTTCTGTATTATTTTGAAATTTGTGTTAAAGTTCTGCACCATTCATTCATCTATGTGCTTCTTGTAACAACTTAGATGTCATGTTGTTGGGAAGTTTCAATAATGAAAATGAAATACATTTATATGTGATGTTGGGAAGTTACAATTTGTTTCAACTTTGTTCTTTTGAGTTCATGTGGAGGGTAGTGGTTCGAATATCGAGGATTGAGGATAATGTGTGTTTTTGAAGTTGAACTCAAGTTATGACCAATTTCACATCAATCGTCTCATTTATGTAACAAGGGTTTTAACCAACTTTGTAATGATATGATTACTTGTGATATTTAAAATTTTAAATTTTCAACGACAAGTGAGCTAAGCCAATTCGTTCTTGTATCGCCTATGGCCAAGTGACACGTATGCTCGAGCCTCTGGCCTCGGTTTTAAGAGAAGGTTTTAGAAAACGAGGGCAGAGAGAGATGAAAGAGACGTTATATAAGCAACCAAGAGAGAAATAACAGCTTATAGTATATAACCTTGGGTAGGGGAATACGACTTAGTGATTCTTACTCTTACCTTTTCGGCCTCGAATATAATTTCCCTAGAATGATTTCTTGTCATTAGGGAAATTATAATTTACCTTTTCAGCCTCGAATATAATTTAATTTCCCAGACAGATCTAGGGGGAGTGATTCAATTCTTAAACAAGTGTTTTTGGCATAATCGATCAACAAAATAATCCAAATATTATCCCTTGTACTTAGTGATTCCTTTTATCATCCATGCCGCCCATGCTACTCCCTATTTTATTCTCTATTCCTGCAAAATTCTCCTTTTATTTGAGACCTTCTTTATTTTGGGTAGGATTCTCGGGTATCCGGCTCCCACAAGTAATTTTTTTCCTATTTATTATTCTTTTAAAAAAAATTATTTTTCATTTTTCAAATTATTTTTTTTTTAAATCCTAATATATCAAGTTCTAAATCTATTATGCGTTAAACAAAATACATAACAAACAAAATTAGAGAAACAGAGAGATTCAGAAGTATATTGCACACCAGACTTATAATCTCAATTCAATGATAGAAAATGAACTAAATAAATAAATAAATAACAGAAGCAACGTTGAGAAGAAAGAAGAAAGAAGAAAGAAAGTAAAAGGCTCTGTTTTTCAAGATTTCTCAGATTTCTTTCGCAATTCCTTTATCCACTTCAAGTTTGCCTTCTTAAATATGTTCTTCTCCGATGAGGAGGAGGAGGAGGAGGAGGAGGAGGATCCCCCCTCCTCCTTCTCCTTCTTCTTCTTCTTAAATATGTTCTTCTTCTTCCCATTTTCCGCCGATGACGGTGGAGGGTTTGGGTCAGGGTTGTTATCCCATTGATCTGCCCATGACAGGCCAGTATCTACATTCATAGCTCCTTTTCTTCCTTCTTTTTTTTCTTTTTCTTTCTCAACAACTTCTCTCGCCTTTCATCAGCAAAGTTTTGAAAGTTTCTAATTATGGATGGCAAAGTTTTGGTGTTTTCAAGATAAAACGACTTGGGAAAGTTTCTAATTATGGATGGCCGGAGTTTTTTTTACAAGAAATGGATTCATTGGTTTGGCCGATTAATTCTATTCTTCTTCGCAAATTGTGTGGATGTTTCATCACAAAGACTTGGTTGGTCGGTAGAAACATCTCTTTTCTTATAATGAAAAAGTCATACCAAACAAACAAACAAACAATCCAACCAACCAACCAACCAACCAACCAACCGTTCAAGGTGGAATCCTAATTGATATTACAATACAACATGCGAATAAAAGATTCACAATGCCACCTTGAAAGCGATCGGGTTGGAGGGATCCAGAAAACTAACAACAAATTCAAGAAAAGGGAGGAGGAGGAGTTGTTCTTACTCGTCATCGCAGTCATCGTTCTTGTAAGAAACAAGAGTGTCCACTTTGTGAATCTGCATCAACACCATTTATAATGTTTAAGTTGGTTGCTTGCAGGGGTGAGCTGAACAAAATGAGTTATGCCATTTGCTCACCTTTGTATCGAAAGAATGGAGCTTCACCATTTGTGGATTAGCAATCAGTTTGGGGTCACTCTCGATCCAAGTAAATGGAACTGCTAGATCTTTATCAGTGTATGCTAACACATCAAATACACCTGAGACAACAAAACATCAGAGAACACTTGATTGAGCATCATGGTGATTATCATCAACAAGCAAAAGGGATCTCACACATCTACATTATCTTTTAAACTCATGAATCATTATGAACTAATGATTGCGTGTTAGAATATAAACAAGGGAGATCAGAATGCAAATCCCATAATGACACACTCCAAGCCCACCGTTAGCAGATATTGTCCTTTTTGGGCTTTCTCTTATAAGAAATGTTTCGTTCCCTTCTCCAACGGATGGATCTCACACACACATACCTAACTATTCAAACTATAGAACTCAAATCTCATTGGTTCAGATTGCGGCCTAACAATCGTCGTGTTACGCCAATCCTCTGAAAATAACCAATGTAGGGTTCTCATCTCGGTTGGACAAGAAAATGATGCTTGAAGCAACACTTGCATGATGATAATGATATCATGATGGAAACTACATGACATCCCATGGATTCAGAACCGGCCTTAGACATTGGGGATTTAGAACTCAAATCCCTTAAAAAGAGACACATGGCTAACTATTCAAGTTATGTTCAGAGTGGCTATAAAAGTAATGTTTTAATGATGAAAACGCCAATCCTCTGAAAATAACCAATGTAGGGTTCTCATCTCGGTTGGACAAGAAAATGATGCTTGAAGCAACACTTGCATGATGATAATGATATCATGATGGAAACTACATGACATCCCATGGATTCAGAACCGGCCTTAGACATTGGGGATTTAGAACTCAAATCCCTTAAAAAGAGACACATGGCTAACTATTCAAGTTATGTTCAGAGTGGCTATAAAAGTAATGTTTTAATGACGAAAAAATTCATATGACATCCTACCGATTCAGAATGTGGCCTAGAAATTGTCATTTAAACTCATGAATCATTATAACTGGCCATGGATCATGATGGAAATTACATGACATCCCATGGATTTAGAACTGGCCATAATTAACAATATCATGTCACACCAATCCCCAAAGTAATAAATGATACATAATGGTACAGTTTGCCAACACTTACAGGGTTCATCTAGGCAGGGCAAGTAAGTGATGCTTGAAGCAATCTGTCTCATAATAGCCTGGATCTCTCTCATTATTTCTTTATCACTCTTTTCCCTCGACACACTGCAACAATTCATCTAATCAATGCAAAATCCAGAAATTTATGAAAGGGAGGAGAAGTTTTTGGTTGAGATTATTACCCTTGCTCTACAACCTCTCCGTCAGTTTCAATTCTAAAGTTCCACCTCTCAAGGACCTCATTATTGGCTTTGCTCATTATAACGAGCACAACTCTTTGCAACTTCCCAGCTTCCAGCCATTCTAAAACCAATTTCATGATTCAAAACCACAATCTGATCGACTGAAAATAAATTTGAAGGAAAAAAACGATACTGAACTGTTGAACAGTGCGAATCCTTCATTTAGAGAAAGGGTACTTACCAGAAAGCTGAGCAGTTAGATTAGAAATGAAGGTCTTAACACCTTCATCTTGAGTAAGCAACATTGGAAGTCCATATTTCTTCACCCTTGCAAAGCTTTCTTCCGGATAAAGCCCACGATTGTAGAGGATGCTACAAATTTAAAATCCACACCGCTTGTAAGTGAGAAAATGCACATTTACATGATTCCAAAATGAAAATTAGGGCACAGAAAACGAAATCAATATTCATACCTATTTGCCGCATAACCTAAATGAGCAATTTCAAGAAAAACGAAAAACAACAAATCAGCCAAGAGTATTCATCGATAATCGAACGAACTAAACAGAAAATTGAAATCAGAAGGGTTTCAGAATGCGCATAATTTACCGAAGAACTCGCTGACAATCGCTGCAGAACCGCGAAGAGTGATAATGTCTTTGGAAGCTGTTTTTGAAGCCATTTCAAATTTTGTTTAACCTAAAGAAACAGTAAGATTTGTTCCTGAATCTTGGATTCTAAGACGAGGAGCGGATCTAGGGTTTTAATCAATGCAAGGGGTAATCAAGATCATGAAGAAATCGAATCGATGAAAAGAAAAACAAGTGGATTTGAGAAGATTTGAGAGCTTCAACTTGCAGGAGGGGCGACTAAAAGCTGTGTAAAATGATGAGCAAGGGTTCGTCTCGTAGAGACAATCTTGAGTGGATAGGCAACGGCTCATTCCCCGTTTGGAATATGGATATTCTTAGAAACCAACGGTAATATTTTTTAAAAACGTGAGCCGTTATGTTCCGTTAACGCCTCTAACGGTACAAAGTGAGGCCGTGAGCCCGCTCCATTTCTTCCCAAATTGCCCTCGTTTTGAAATTGATGATAGCTTTAACAAAAAAAAATATTTGAAAAAAAAATTATCAAAAATTTATATAAATAAAATATTTTTATTATATTATTTAATTTTAGAAAATTAACCATTATTAAATTTTTTTGTAAAAATAAAATTTATATATATTGAAAAAAATTATTGTTGATTTATTATAATTAAATAATTAATTATAATAAATTTTTAAATAAAATCAATTAATTAATTAAGTTTATTCAAAATAAAATAAATTAAGTTATAAAATGTTATCAACATTTTATATAAATAAATAATATTTTTTAGTTCTAATTTTACAACGATGTTCTTGTTATGATCGATAACAAGATTAAATTACTACAATTTTTTTAACGGGTTCTTAATTAAACCCGTACCTTATTATAAATTTCAATTTGAAGGAATTGAATCGAAATTATCGCGTACCATCAAACCGTGGATCTCAATTCTTTCAACTGTTTCTCGTTTTCAAAACCTAGAATGTAATAAAATGTTATTTCGAATAGGTTTTAGTTCTTCATTTATACAGTATTAGATTTGTTCGGGTTCTGAAATAGAACAATATTATTTCTTTACTAATTCGTTCTTGGTTTTATTGTATACGTTCTTATTTTCGATTCGAAGATGTTCAAAGAATGAACTGGAAGATGATCATCTCAACGGTCGAAAACTATGTTCTTCAAAGTGAATATGATTTTGATCACCCAA